GGCTGCATTTGTTTCTTTTCTTTTTTTTCCCATGGTGATCCAGCCAGTAACACATTTCCTGTCTTAGAGTGTCTCCACTCTATATAAAAAAAGCAATGGAGCCACCCTTGGACAGCAGCTTTGTCACCCTGTGGAGAGGGTAGTGTTAGATGGACTTGACTAACAAATTTAAGCAGAAACTCCAGTAAACACGTATTATGTTGTTTCTTTTTTCCTTTTGCAATAAAGATTTGAATTATATGAATAAAAGTTGATAATTGGAAGCACCCCGACAATGTTAAATGGTGTATCTCAACTTTCTATCTGCCATTTTGCTGGACAAGTTGATCTGTTAATGGAAGATGAAAAAATAACAGACTTAGTAGCTGGATCATCAGGTGAAAATATACAATTTTTGCTTTTGGGTTCAAATACGCTTGAAGGAATTTCATTAGCAGGTTCTCCAATGACAGTAAAACCTGACAGGAGTTCTAATTCTTCCCTACTCTATCCAAAATTAAAAAAAACAAAAAACAGTTTGGGTAATACACTTTAATTATGTTTTACCGTACACGTGTGGTTAGGGCCTGTGCAGGATACTTTAATTTATTGTAGCTGTCAAGTTTCATACACACACACACACACCATTTGAATGTTTTGCTTTTCTAGCTGGATATGGCCCATGTTACTTTTAGGAGAGGTCAACAGGCAGAATTTGAATTCTTTCAAATAATATCTCTATATTTTGGTTTAGGATGTCTTGATTAGTAATTTTAAAAGCCTGTATAGATTGCTGTTGCAGTCTGTGGGAACGATGCAAAAAGTGTGATGTGTGAGGAAACAGAACCTGCTGAAGTTTTAAACTTCTGGAGCTCATGTTAAACTAACGAAATACTAAGTGGGCATATCCTGTTATTAAGGTGCCCACACACCTTACAATTTATCTGCAGATTTTCTGTGGTCAGATGGAAAAAGTGCAACAGATTGGCTCAGGTGTTGATTACTCCATCCACACAGTTAAGTGGAGATGGAGGAATCTGTTGCACCTTTTCCATCTGACCACAGAAAATCTGCAGATAAATTGTAAGGTGTGTGGGCAGCTTTACATGTGTTATGTGTTTTTTGTCTTGTCTGAGAGTTAGAGGGAACCTTTCAAGATAAAAATGTATAAATGAAAACACTTATCAGGAAAAAACAGGCAAATTCAAATAGTTATTCACACAAACACAACTCTATGTGACGTCACTTAACCAATGGTAAAGTGTTGGGTGGTAAGGGCAAAATAATAAAAAAAACATATTCAGTACAGCTGAGGGTTGCCTTTGTTGCACTGATGTCCTAACCAGCATTGTCAGCCCTGCCTGTTTGACATTAGAACTTCGCCAAATCCCTCCACCCCTCTTTGCCCCTCTCCACAATCATACATTGATTTATTTCCCAGCAAAACAATTCTGCTGCTTGACACTTAAGAACCTGCTCACAACACTGGGAGATGTAGTTCTGGGGTGGTGCCTGAATGGGAACTGATTTCCCAGCAGCTATCCTGATTAGAATTTCACAAAACTGGTGAATGTTGCCACATGGAGTGATGGAAGTTAGAGGGAGGTTTAGTGGTAACATTGGGTAATGACGAGACATATACTGTAGGGCACATGTGTCAAACTCAAGGCCCAGGGGCCGAATCCGGCCCACCAGGCCATTTCCTAGACTTCTACTTTCAGATCTAGGTATTAAGTTATTACTAAAACCAGTGATAATCAAATGCAGAGCCAATTATGATAGATTAGATACATTTATATAGTCTTACAGTCCCTTTGAGGGCAACCATAATGTTGATGCAGCCCTCGATTAAATTGAGTTTGACACCCTTGCTGTAGCGAATCATTTTTTTTAAGGGTAGTTGCAGAGTATTTCGTTGTTCTTGGAAATGGAAGCCCATGCCAAAAACTACCACCGATGGATTCCCGGATCCAAATACCCCAGCAGACACACATACACTAGAACTCCAGTTACTGTATATGGAAGGAGAATTTGTGTGGCACAAAGCTGTTTACGTACATGTTAAATGAGAACAATCAGGTGATGCTGCTTGCATAGATCTTCTGATTAATTTATGAAGCATAACATGTATTATACTGTACATTCAGCATATCGAAACATACGTATATTACTAGAACACTTAGACTACTCCAAAGTTGTATGACAAGAATTTTTCCAGTCTCAGATAAATGCTTTTAAAATGTAGGTCTGGCCAAAATGAACGTAAAACCCCCAAAAAACAGAATACAGTAATACCTTGGTTTACGAGCATAATTCGTTCCGGAAGCATGCTTGTAATCCAAAGCGCTTGTATATCAAAGTGAATTTCCCCGTAGGGAATAATGGAAATTCAGATGATTCTTTCCACAACCCAAAAATATTCATATAAAAATGATTACAATACTGTACTGTAATATAATACTGTACAAAATATAAAGAAAAATAAACCAATTACCGGTACCTTCGTGGCTGCTGTGAGGGGGACAAGAGAGAGGAGGATTATTGTGCAGGACGACTTTCACTATCACTAACGGAATCACTGCTATCTCTTGACTCAATGGAATCTTTTTCATTTTGTGAAACCTTAACAAGGAATCTATCCAATGTGACATTGCATTGTTGTTAAACAGACTCATCGCTCGCACTGCTACAGCCTTATTCAGGTGCTTTTCTACAAAATGTTGCTCTTATTGCAAGACATTGCTTGTATATCAAGGCAAATGTTTTCAGAAATGTTTGCTTGTCTTGCAAAACACTCTCAAACCAAGTTACTTGTAAACCAATATATTACTGTATAGTGTATGTTCCCATCTCAGCGGTGCAGTGCAGCAATATTAAAAAATTTGGATGATCTGATTTTTTCTTTGTTTTAGTGCATCTGGAGGCCCATTGAAGTCAATGGCAATACATCAAAAGGTATATAACATGATTTTTGATGTCTTGGCAACAGGTATTAACAAGCTTTGATCAGTGGATGTTACCCCTATTAACTCTAAATTCAAAAATATATTGAAAACGCGCATCAACACGCATCAAAATGTATGCTAATGCATAAACAAAAGGAAACGCATGATGCATAACAATGTTCCTAACACTACCAAAAACCGCTGCGCACACACAAATAAATCTATTCGTTTTAATAAAACCAGAAAATACAAATACAAATTTCATGATTCCACCCAGCCCCATTTTCAGATGCTCAGACATCAATTGCTAACAACATCATACAGTATGTCAAATGATAAAATTACCAATTAATAGAAACATGTTAGGTTTGGAAAAGCTTGAGAGTGGTTAAGGAGAACACTGAAAGCTTAACTCTGGGATAGGAATGTATGGTCTAAATACAAGAGTCATGTGCATTCTTACTTGAATCTTGGTGTGCTTTTTGTATTTCTTCTAGATCTGTTCAGTAATCCAGCATTTGCCTCTGTGTGGGAGTTTCCTGTAATAAAGACCATTGACTGCTGCTGCTGTCCTGGTGCAGGGTGACTGGTCTTTGTTCCGCCCCCTCCTGTAGTGGGTAGCGCCTGCTGGGTCCCTCCCACAGCTCTGCTCTCTGTGCATACTGTGTTCAGCACATTGATGAAGTTACCACTACTTTTACAAGGTATTATCTGGGTCTGGAAAGGCATTTGGTGAACAAAAAGAGAATTTATATCCTTTGTGGATAATAAGGAATATATTTAATACAAGTTTTTGTGCCTGGAGTTCATATTTATTTTTTACTTTTTTTCTTTATTCCTTTACTTGGGAATGAAGTATTATTTTTTTTACTAATACAAGGAAAAATAACTACCTTGGAAATTGGAAGGCAGAATCTTCAATAGTGGAAAATCTTTTCAGCCTGTGAGCAGTATTTGTACAAAATTGTCTCCAATGGAAACTGTAATACTTACTAACTCATTTTATTATTTGTCATTTTTTTTAGATGTTTGAATATTCGATGGTGTTACATAATCTTTGCACATCTTTATTTTCCTAAAAAATCTTTATTACAGGATATGCCTACAATGCTCACTTTACAAAGCATGGTGGATTTTTGTATAAGAAATCCCAAATGTGCCTGCAAGCTTTTTGGCTGCCTGAGTGAATTTACATATCTGCTAGGAACAAGAGGGATGGGAAGGGTTGTCTGATATTCAGGTCTATTTATAGGGTCCATTCACACTGGAGCTTTGCATTAAGTGCACATTACCATACGTTTAGTGCATGCTAACACACAGCGCATTATGCATGCAGTACCATCCATTATGTATGTTGCATTGCCATCCATTTAAATGGCACTCCAAAGGACCTCTCAGCAGCCGCATGTTGCCGGGCAACATGTGGTACCGCAATGCCATGCATTGCGTTTTTGTGAAAAAAAGTTGTGCGTGAACTATTGTTTTTCCACCACACGCCAATGCAATGCATGGTATTGCGGTACCACACGTTGCATTGCACTGCAATGTCCATTCACCGGGAGGTACATTGGGGTGCTATTCTGATGGATGGCAGTGCAACATACCTAGCACACAGTACTGCCCGCTAGGTACATTGTGCTGCTGTATGCGCTAAATACACAGTAATGTGTGCTTAGCACAACACTCTGCTGTGAATGGGCCCTTAGTAAACAGTTGCACTGAGATCCTTTCTTGACCATATAGCTCTTGCATAGTGATCCACTTGTTGGCTGCAGTTGGTAAATACAAATAATCCATATGCAATATCTAATATTCACCTGATAAAAAAATATTTTAAAATGTAATTTTTTTTTAGCATGGAACATAAGGAAAATACCTAGAGTAAAAAGACTTTGGTTTTCAGTGTGTTTTTCTTTGTATCTTCCGTTGAATGGATACCTTGTTTTACACTTCACTAAAACTTACCTGGTATGTATTAAAAATGTTATCCATGTGGGTGCTGCACTATTTTGAATCTCAGGCTCTTTAATTTCCAGGCAGATTGCATATAAAACCAGGATATGTTTTTGTTTCTAGAGCATCACAATTACTTTGGAATAGATGATCATTTGGGACCTGTAGCGGTCAGTATCCGCAGGGAGAAGGTGGAAGGGATCAAAGAAAAAGAAGTGTCTCCTTTCTGTTACCGAATTGCTTTCAGAACCAGTGAGGTAATAATTATTTTACAATGTTGATTCTGTCACCTTAGATAAATATAATTTGCTGTGTCTGACCATTGACTGGGTATATGAATGATGAGACCGGTGAAAGCTTCGGGTTTAAGCCGCCATCTCGTACGCCAGTTGGCCACGCCCCCGAGACCTGTGATTTTTAAATGCCTATGGGTCATGTGCATGTATGAAAATCTTTAAAGGAAGCAAAAATAAATATTTAATCTTAACATATTAACTGTGCAAAGTTACTTGTAAAAAAATACATTGCCCCCTTGTTTACCTTATTAGATTACATTGCATGAGCCTGACACATTAGCTGCATGGTGAGGGGTCAGAGGGCACCTGAACTTTGATAATTGCTGTCCTGTCATCTGACCTCACAAGCTGTCTCCCAACCCTGAGAATTCATAACATTAGACTCAATTCACAAAGCTAACACAGCAGGATAAGAATCTTTATTTTCAAAGAGGGACAGTTATTTTCAGTTATGTCCCATGAGATTTCGAAATGACAATCACATGGGTAAGATAAAGGTCCGTACCCTTGTGTTAAAGCTTTGTGAACTGAACCCTTTGTCAGAGAAGGGAGCAAAGTTGTTACAGAGGAATTGAACTTTGTAGGCTATGCCTAAAAGAAAAGGCAGAAAATAGACACCAGCAGTGCCTGTGGTTTCCCTTCAGCTGATGTTTTTTTTTTTTAAGGCGGTCATCTTGGCTTTTGCTTCCTTATGTCAGAAACTCCAGCAAGGAGAACAAGGAGCCGCACAGTAATGATAGCACCAACTCTTAATCTAAATCTTATGAAAATATCAATCAGAGGCAGTAGTGCCTTAGATCTTACACTGCAGATTTACAGAAATGGGCCACAAAGTACAATGATATGATTCAGACAAAATGAACATTTTCAGGATACTGCTTAGGCACAAACATTTCTACATTTTCTCTATAACAAAGCAAATTTTCAATATTTTAGTTCCATTCCAGTGTAAGAGGTAAGGACAATGGCGTGACTCTGTTATGTCACACTGTTATGCACTCTTTGGAGCTAAGAGACAGTGGAGCTTATTCATCTCAATTCAACAAAAGAAAACTGATAAGAAAATTGTCCTTGTTACTGATGCCATCAACATTTGTATTTAGTTTTGCATAAAATGAAAGAACACATCTGATTGAACGTTTCTCATTTTCTCTTGTTGTGAATACTCATGCCCAGAATGTTAGGTCAGATAGATGAGAGGACAGCTAAGGTGTCAGAATTGCACAAAGTAAAAAAAATAAAACAACATGTTAGATGCCTGGCTCTCCCTTTCATCAGAGTCACTGACTAGGAACAAAAATGCAGATATATAGTTCTATTTTCCCTTCCTGCATGCTTGTGCGAGTCACTCAGAGAATACTAAAGCTAGAGACAGCCAGGGAACAGCAGGTTTCCTTTAATAATAACTTTTTTATTTTCTGTAAAGCAACATTAATCAACAAAAACAGTGGCAGCAAGTGGAACAGGAAGCACATGGCCCATCAGTAGTATGATGTTAGCAGCCACTGGTTTGTTTTATCCTGATTCTATTGTTTATCCATGATTGATTTTTAATTTAATTTATATATAGTGTATTATCTTAGCTTACCTTAGTTGCCAAAAGCTTTGAAGACTTCTACCATTTTTGATGTAAGTGAGGGTCAAAAAGCATGGCTACCCAGTAGTCACCACTATGATTAATACTGATAATGGGATTTGTTATCCTGCAGACAAGCAAGGACTTGACATCCTTGCCAGCCTCCCTAAATCAGAGGTTACAGCTGGATTGATCTCTTCTTCCCATTACAGTTCAACATCACCATGGTCACTGCTGGCATGTCTGTTAAATATATAGTAAATTTAGAGTTATCCTCAAGAGGCAGCTTAGAGAACATCTTTTTATCCTCCCCAGCATCCAAGAAATTACCTCTTCTACCATTTCTTTCTTAGCTATGTCCTGCTTATCTGGGCCCCAACAGCTACACTGAGATTTGTGTTCTTCCTTACCTAGCTGCATCAATGTCAGTGCTTGACAAATACATAATGACATACACAAATATAGCAATTCCAGATAACACCTGGGGTGGACAGCATCTGTAAAGAGACGGAGTGGGTCAAACTTGACAAAGAGTGCAGCACAATACACCTTATATCATGCTCTGAGAATCTGTGAAATGCAGCTCTGGGATGTCTTACTCTGTCTGGTCCCTTAAGGAAATCTTTGAAAGTTTGTAACATGAATGTTTTTATGTAGGGGAACTTACCTAGCAACTTTTTATACAATGTATTTAATAAAATCACATTTTTATGAACTGCAGTTTTAATTTTTGAAAAAATAGTTTTGTTCACATTGATAGCACCAGTACTTTTACTTTACTACTTTTACTATTTAATTTTTTTGTACTCTGTTTCTGTGTTCAGCTCTTAATATTATTCTTAAAACTAAGAGCCAAGTCTTTACTTCTAAGAAATGTAAGACCTAGGTAACTTTTTGGAGCTAGGTTCTACAGTATATTTCTCTTTTGTTTACTGAAAGACGCAACAGAGATCTTGATCTCTGTACTGAGGGGTTATAGCACCACTTGCAGGAGTACCATTGGAGCACCACTTGCAGGAGGCATTGTAACCCATCGGTACAGAGATCAAGATCTCTGCTATCTCCTCCAATGAATGCAGAGAAAAGGACTTTACAGTGAGTACAACAAATGCTATTTTTCCCCATGCCGCCTATGTTCCAGCATGTCACAATATTAATCTTTTCCAATGTACCCTGATACCACTCATGTTCCAGGAAACTTGTTTTATAAACTAGAGATACCTAAGTGCCATAAACAGCTCTAACATAGTGTTGTGTATGCTGGTGTGCTGGGAGAATCCCAAGGCTTTTGAGTTCTTTGATGGAACCTAGCAGGCTTATATGACTTGTCATATTGGCGATGCTTCAAAAGCTTGTAAAGGTCATCAGTTTAGAGCTAACCATGAATATTGGCCCTAAAATGATTGCTCTCACTCTGGTGTACACAGCGATAACTAACGTGTGATGCAATCGTTGTTTTGTGTTAGTATGTGCAAGTATGCGGGGATGGGAGAAAAAAAATATGGTGGGTGTTTTTAACCCCTTCATGACTGAGCTTGTTTTTAGTTTCTGTTCATAAATGACTGACACACTTTTTCAAATTTTTGCTGTGTGATTCTTCCACGTCAGTAATATACTTTCTTACAAAGTGCACCCACACATATTATATATTGTTTTTTAGAGGACAGATAGGGCTATATATTTATATCACATATGTGTACCTAACGCCTCACTTAGGACAAATAAAATATAAAAAAAAACAGGAAAAAATGTAAAGAAAACACTTTCACCCCAGATTCAATTTGTAGTATTTTTTTTTAGAAAAACAGCTCAGCTAAAAAAATGCACTAAATACATTCATTTATTTGTCCTTTATTTGGAAAAACCTCACATCCCTAGGATTTTAGAAATTGTTCTGTACTACTCGGCCTAAAACTAAAACCTAACATTTTAATCTTTTTTCTCTAAAAGCCAAAGCTAAAAGTGGTCATCTGGCATACAATGTCACTGTCACTAAGTGTCAGGTCCTCTGTGTTAGACCCCTAATGTCTTCTTTGCAGCCCACTGAAGCTGATCAAGCACAGATTGTTCTTGATCAGCTTCTTTCCTGGCTTCTCAAGCTCAGAAACTCCAAATGAAGGAGGAGGGAGGGAGGAGATCAGCGAACAGACATCTTGCTGGACTCTCCCCTCTACCTTCTGATACCTGAAATGCTGGTCCCCACAAAGGACAGCACTTCGGCCAGACGAAGTGCTAACTAGTAGTATGTTGACAGGTAAAGGGAGCAGACAGGTGACATAATCAGTCTGTTGCTGCTCCTTTACTGTCCAATCACATTATAGGGATGTGTAGGTGACATAGCTGTGTTGCTTAGCTGCAGTAGAGCAAAGTCACCAGGCAGGCAGTTAAGGCAGCTCCCATATATGTATTTAAATTTAGTATTCAGGGGTTTGCCTGAAGCTCAGCTTTAAGTGATCAGCATCTATCTGGGTATGCTTTGCACCAATGCACTATAGGCTCTATATTTCTCTTGCCTTTTCTTATAGTAGGTTATCTCCATCCTAGTCCCTTTACCTGTGCATTGATACTATGGTAACCACCTAAACCTGTCCTCTGGTTCCTAATATTCCTCTGTCTATTGTTTCAGCTGTTTGCCTGCTATGACTCTGCCACCTACGGTAATCTGGGTCTGCACACATCTGAGTACTGCCTGGCTGACAATTTAGGGATTCACTTCAGTTCCCTGCCACGTCTTCAGCTGCAGTCATTCGGGAATACCTGTGTGCTGTGACCCAGGAATGTCACAAAATGAAGCCCACATCTACTTAAAGTGGTCCCTGGTGAAAACCAGGCACTCTTTATATGTTGTGCTTTGAGGATTAAAGGATTCATTCCAATTCTTACATCCTGCTGAAGGTCAGCAATCTTTTACTCCCCATTGCTCTTGTTTCATAGTTTCACTAGATGAAAAAAGGTACAAATATCTGAAGACTGGATATTATGGGCAACAGCAGCAGTAGATGACAAGTAGCTTGACATTTTAAATGGGAAATGGATAACCGAGGAGGAGAATTGATTTTGTTATTGTTGGCAACAAGGTTAATACCACAGGACAGAGTGATAGACTTTTACTGTGATTTTTTAGTTTTGACCCCCAACTGTGACTTGTGTGACAACACGTTAGTGACAATACTGTATCTATACAAGAAGAATAGCAGGTAGTAGTGAACACTGGCAGTTAAATATCACATTCATGATGATTTTATGACAATGATAACATGTCCAATGATCAATTTACCAGCACTAGTGTACACTTAAAATGGCATCCAACAGGCACCGCATTGTTTTTATAAGAGGATAATACAACCCTAACCTTGCAGGCCTTGGGAAAAAGCAAGAAGAGGCA